ACTCCAGCACACCAGTACTCCATCACTCCAGTACACCAGTACTCCAGCACACCAGTACTCCATCACTCCAGCACACCAGTACTCCATCACTCCAGTACACCAGTACTCCAGCACACCAGTACTCCATCACTCCAGCACCCAGTACTCCATCACCCCAAGTACACCAGTACTCCAGCACACCAGTACTCCCATCACTCCAGCACACCAGTACTCCATCACTCCAGTACACCAGTACTCCAGCACACCAGTACTCCATCACTCCAGCACACCAGTACTCCATCACTCCAGTACACCAGTACTCCAGCACACCAGTACTCCATCACTCCAGCACACCAGAACTCCATCACTCCAGCACACCAGTACTCCATCACCCCAGTACAACCAGTACTCCAGCACACCAGTATTTCCATCACTCCAGCACACCAGTACTCCATCACTCCAGTACACCAGTACTCCAGCACACCAGTACTCCATCACTCCAGCACACCAGTACTCCATCACTCCAGAAACCCCAGTATTTCCCAGCACACCAGTATTTCCATACTCCAGCACACCAGTACCCATCACTCCAGTACACCAGTACTCCAGCACACCAGTACTCCATCACTCCAGCACACCAGTACTCCATCACTCCAGTACACCAGTACTCCAGCACACCAGTACTCCATCATTTCCAGCACACCAGTACTCCCAATAAACTCCAGTACACCAGTACTCCAACACCAGTACTCCATCATTTCAGTACACCCAGTACTCCAGCACCAGAAACTCCATCACTCCAGCACACCGTATTTCCATCACTCCACACACCCAGTACTCCATCACTCCAGTACACCAGTACTCCAGCACACCAGTACTCCATCACTCCAGCACACCAGTACTCCATCACTCCAGCACACCAGTACTCCATCACTCCAGCACACCAGTACTCCATCACTCCAGTACACCAGTACTCCAGCACACCAGTACTCCATCACTCCAGCACACCATACTCACAGCACACCAGTACTCCATCACTCCGTACACACCAGTACCCCAGCACACCATACTCCATCACTTCCAGCACACCATTTACTCCATCACTCCAGCACACCAGTACTCCATCACTCCAGTACACCATTACTCCAGCACACCAGTACTCCATCACTCCAGCACACCAGTACTCCATCACTCCAGTACACCAGTACTCCAGCACACCAGTACTCCATCACTCCAGTACACCATTACTCCAGCACACTAGTACTCCATCACTCCAGTACACCAGTACTCCATCACTCCAGTACACCATTACTCCAGCACACTAGTACTCCATCACTCCAGTACACCAGTACTCCATCACTCCAGCACACCAGTACTCCAGCACACCAGTATCCATCACCCATTACAACCAGTACTCCCATCACTCCAGTACACCAGCACTCCAGCACACCAGTACTCCATCACTCCAGTACACCAGTACTCCAGCACACCAGTACTCCATCACTCCAGCACACCAGTACTCCATCACTCCAGCACACCATTTACTCCATCACTCCAGTCCCAACCATTACTCCAGCAAAACCCAGTACTCCTCACTCCAGCACACCAGTACTCCATCACTCCAGTACACCTTACTCCAGCACCCCAAAGTACTCCATCACCCCCAGTTACACCATTATTTTCCAGCACACTAGTATTTCCATCACTCCAGTCCACCAGTACTACATCATCCAGCACACCAGTACCCATTACTCCAGCACACCATACTTCCATTACCCCAGTAAAACCATCACTCCAGCACACCAGCACCCCAAATCACTCCAGTACACCAGTACCCAGCACACCAGTACACCATCCCCTCCAGCACACCAGTACTCCATCACTCCAGTACACCAGTATTCCAGCACAGCCAGTACACAATCACTCCAGCACACCAGTACTTCCATCACTCCAGTAAAACCAGTACTACCAGCACCACCACTCCATCACTCCAGCACACCAGTATCCTCATCACCCCAGTACACCAGTAAAACCCAGTACCCAGCACACCAGTACTCCCATCACTCCACACACCAGTACTCCATCACTCCAGCACACCAGTACTCCACACACCAGTACTCCAGCACACCAGACTCCATCACTCCAGCACAACCAGTACACCATCACTCCAGCACACCAGTACTCCATCCCCTCCAGCACACCAGTCTCCATCACTCCACACACCAGTACTCTCTTCACTCCAGTATCACCAGTACTCCCAGACACCAGTACACCATCACTCCAGCACACCAGTACTCCATCACTCCAGCACACCAGTACAATCACACCCAGCACACCAGTACCCCCCATTCACTCCAGCCACCAGTATTTCCATCACTCCAGCACACCAGTACTCCTTTCCACTCCAGTAAAACCATATTTCCAGCACACCAGTACACCATCATCTCCAGCACACCAGTACTCCTCACTCTCCAGCACACCAGTATTTCCCATCACTCCAGCCCCAACCAGTATTTCCATC